TCTTCTATAGCAATTCTGGCTTCTCTGTGTGGCTTATTTCACTTACCATAATTATCTTCAGTTTCATTCATGTCACAAGTCACGTTTTGTTTTTTTGTTTTTTTTTTTTAATCCAAGGATCGGTTGATGGACACTCGGGTTATTTCTGTTTCTTGGTTATTATGAATACTGCTGCAGTTAATGTGAACATGGAGTGCCGGTGACTTTTCATCATAACTGATTTCATTTTCATTGGATATACAGGCAGTAGTGTAATTGCTAGATCACATGGTAGTTATACTTTAAATTCTGTTAGGAACTTCCTTTTTGCTTTTGCTGTTGTTTTCTTGAGCCAGGGTCTCTCAACATAGCTCCAACTGTTCTGGAATTCATTACATAGATCAGGCTGGCCTAGAACTCAAACATCTACCTGCTGGGATTAAAGTCACAACCCCTGGCCTGTTAGGAACTTTCATTCTGCTTCTTCTTTCATTAGATAGGGTTTTATCCTGCAGATTAAGCTGTCTGGGAACTGACTATGCAACCCTGGCTGGCCTTAAACTTGTAGCCATCCTTCTGCCTTGGCCTGCCTTGGCCACACAAATGCTGGCATTACAGGTGTAAGCGACCATGCTTTTATACCGTTTTCCACAATGACTGTGCCAGTTCACATTTACACCAACTGTTTGCAAAAGTTCTCTGTTCTGTCATCAATTGTTAAATTGGATTTGTTTTGAGACAGGGTCTCGTGTATCTTTCGGCTAGCCTCAAGTTCACTATGTAGCCAAGGTTGATCTTGAACTCCTGATTCTCATGCCTACATTACCCTGGTGCTGGCATTACTGGCATGTGTCACCATGCCCAATTTTATGAAATGCAAGATATTGAATCCAGGGCCTGGGGCATGCCCAGCAAGCACTCAACTAAGTCCCAGCCCCAGTCCTTGATATTTTTCAAAATAACCATTCTTACAATTATGAAGTGATAGCTCATTGTGGTTCTGATTGCCTTTGCCTGATGGTTAGTGGCATGGACTTTTCCACATGCTTTTAGCCATGTTTTCGAGACAGGGTCTTGCTGTGTAGCCATAGATATCTTGGAATTCTCTACATAGAGCCGGCTAGCTTCAAACACATAGAGATCCTCCTGTCTCTGCTTCCCAAATGCTGGGATTAAAGACCCATGCCTTTAGACATTCTTCAGTCTTTAGAGAAACTTCTATTTAGGCATTTTATGTTTTGTAATTGAGTTGTTTTCTTTTTCATTATTAAGGTGTTTTTGCTTATTTGGTTTTTTTTGTTTGTTTGTTTGTTTTCTTAGCCTTTGAGATGGATATTATTTGTGTAATAGCTCTGGCTGTCCAAGAACTAACTCTGTAGATCAGACTGGCCTCGAACTCAGAGATCCACCTGATTCTGCCTCCCAAGTGCTGGGATTAAAGGCATTCGCCACCTCTGCCCAGCTGCTTATTTGTTTTTGAAACAGAGTCTTGCTACGCAGCCCAGTCTGACCCGGAACTTACTACATAACTCAGGCTGTCCTTAAACACACTATCCTTTTGCCACAAGCTGCCAAATGCTGGAATTATAGACATGCTTCATCATGGCTTGAGAGCATGTCTTTTAGACACATTGTTACTCTCTTTTGGGACCTTCCTTGTTCCCGGGGTTACTGCAATAGTTTCCTGACTTCCTTCCATTTCTTCCCTCGAATCTTTTCACTATATTACGCTATCACGGTGGTTTTCAAAAGGCCAACTTTGATTTAAAATTCCTTTGCTAGTCCAGGCATTGTAGCTCAAGCCTACAGTCCTAGCACTTGGGAGGCTGCAGCTGGTGAATCGCAAGTTAGAGCAAAGCCTGTCTCAAGAAAACATAAAATACAACAAAACAAAGCATACATCCTCAATTCTTTTGATGGTTTTCTTCTCCGCAGAAGTGTTCCTAAAACCTGACTGCACCATAAGCCAGCCAAGTCTGGTGGTATACACCTGTGCTCTCTGCTACTTGGGAGGCTGAACTAGGAAGCAGAACCTGGGCAATTTAGAGACACCTTGTCTCAATAATAAAAATAATTGTGTGTGTGTGTGTGTGTGTGTGTGTGTGTGTGTGTGTGTGTGTGTGCGCGCTTTAGGGAGTCAGTCCTTTCCATCTACTATGAGATCAGATTGAGGACTGAACTCAAGTCATCAAGCTTGCATAGCAAGCATTTTTTTTCTTAGTCAGGGTTTCTCTGTAGCTTTGGAGCCTGTCCTGGAACTTGCTCTGTAGACCAGGCTGGCCTTGAACTCAGAGATCTGCCTGCCTCTGGCTCCCGAGTGCTGGGTTTAAAGGCATGCACCACCACTGCCCAGCAATGGCAAGCACTTTTTTAAAGTTTTACTTTATTTTATGTTTGTGTTTTGTCTATGTGCCTATGTACACCATGAGCATGCAGTCAGTGCCTGTGGAGGTCAGAACAGGGAGTCAGAACACCCGGGGCTGGAGTTCAGATAGTTGTGAGTCACTATGTGAGTTCTGGAAACAGAACTCAGGTCCTCTACAAGAGGAGTCAGTGTTCTGAACTGCTGAGCTTTGTCTCCAGCCCCATGCAAAGCACTTTGGCTTTAGTTGTTGTTGTTCTGTTTTATGAGACAGGGCTTCACATAGTCCAGGCTTGCCTTGAACTTTTCATCTTTCTGCCTCTACCTCCTAAATTCTGGGATGGCCCCATATCTGTTATAAATGACATAAATACAAACATTCTGCCAACTAAAGTCTGTCTTCGTACCCAGGTATTCTTTTTCTCCATGTTCTGATCCCAAACCTAGAAGAATGCCAAGCGTGCAGGATGTTCTCAAGTTAGGGTCCCTCTACCCAAAGACCTCTACCACTCATCATCTATCCAAGCCCACCCCTGCAGTAACTTCTCTCTGGTGGAGCCTACAAGAGGGGCCCTGGACACAGATCAAAGCATGCTACAACAGACTTCAGTAGTAATTTGTTTTTTTAATATAGAGTCTCATGTAGCCCAGGCTGGCCTCAAACTTGCTATATAGCTAAGGCTTACTATGAACACTTTTTTGGTTGTTCTGTTTTTTTTGTTTTTCAAGACAGGGTCTCATTATGTAGCTCTGACTGACCTGACTTGCTCTGTAGACCAGGCTGGCCTTGAGCTCACAGAGATCTGTCTGAAACTGCCTCCTGAATGCTGGGATGAAAGGTATGCTCCACTAAACTGAGCTGTGGCTCTGAACTCTTGATACTCTTGTGATGAGATTATAGGTATTCAGCACCACATCTTCCTAAGATGTCCATCTTGAGGAATTAGGTGAACGAAGCAGTGGAACAGAAGATTTAAGCTGACAAGTCAGAACATAACAAGGCATAGAAATGGAACAAAACACTTTGTACATGGGAATGGCAGTCAGTGCCTTCTGGGTGCTTACTGTTCTCAAACTATGTTAATTGTGTTACATAGTAACAAAGGCTCCCTCCTTAACCGAACTGGGGTCTGGCTCCTCTGGGACATTGGGCTGTGTCCTAAAGTCCAGTTAGTCCAGTTTTACTAAGAGTCTGTTGAGTCTCTAGCAACCAACACCCTTGGTATCTGATTGAATTCCTCATTCTGTGCTCATCACTCTGGCCTGCCTCCAGCAAGAATTCCCCCAGATTTGACATTTCCTCTTGGTAGTTTTCCATCTGTTGACCCCTCTCCTTTCCCTTGGCTACATATTACTGTCCTTCCTTGTTATGTGTGAAGCCGAGCCTAACTTCCTTCCTCTGCTGCAAAAAATCTCTTTGCGATGCTCTCTCTACCCATCGTGACAGAGCCTTTCTTTAATAGATATGAAAAGTATTTTGACAAAGATCACGGTTGGTTTTCATGGAACCCTATGAGAAGTGTTCTTTGTTAGCATCATTTTACAGAACAGAGTGCTGGAGATGACGGCAGAAGCGTCCTGTGGATTCACAATGTCAAAGAGTGGAGTGGGAGAGAGAGGATGGAAAGAATGGCAGAGGCTCCAGGGAACTCTTCAGGGCCAGAGTAAAAAAAAAAAGTGGACTAGTTCATTGAAACTGATACCAGATACAAATTTGTCTGGTCTCAGGTCAGAAGGCTAGAAGTCTTGTTGTTGTTTTTGAAGGATGAAATCTAAGATCAGGCATGAGCAAGGTCACTCTCCTCTAAGGCCTCTGTCCATCTTCCTAGGCACTGGTATGCTCACTGTGTATGTGCATCTTGGATGTTGCTGTTGTTTGTGGGTTTCTGGTTTTTGTTGGTTTTTTATCTTTGTTTTTCGAGACAGGGTTTCTCTGTATAGCTTTGGAACCTGTCCTGCAACTCACTCTGTAGATCACACCGGCCTCGAACTCAGAGATCTGACTGTCTCTTGCCTCCCAAGAGCTGGCATTAAGGGCGTGCACCACTACCAACCGGCTTTTTTTGAGGGTGGGTGGGGGGATTGAGGCAAGGTTTCTCTGTGAAGTCTTGGCTGTCCTAGAACTAGCTCTATAGATCAGGCTGGCCTCAAACTCACAAAGATCCACCTGCTTCTGCCTCCTGAGTGCTGGGATTAAAGGTGTACTCCACTACTGCCCAGCTGATGTTTCTTTTAATGGCCTCCTCTCCTATTACAAGGACAATAAGGACAAAATCAGGTTTTAGTAGGTTCCACCCTGACAATTGCACTTTAACTTAACTACCTCTTCAGAGGCCCTTTCTCTAAATATAATCATATTCTGAAATATTAGGAGACAGGGATCCACCATATTAGGGGGAGTGATGACATTGGCCATGCAAAGTTCAGTAAAGGATTTGAACCTTAATCTATAGACCAGTTATTCTGAAAGCTGGTGGTGAGTCAGAATCACTGGAAGATCTTTAGGAAACTTCTAATTCCAGGGCATGATTCATGTTCAATCACTCTGGGCTAGGTTCTGGGGAGAAGTTTAGTTCCTCTATCTTTTCCAGTTGCTTCTAGTACAGTCAGGTTTTTCTCCCCACCCGACTCCCCATCCCAGGTCCTAGGGGCTGAACATGGGACCTAGAATGTGCTAGATAAGCACTTATCACCAAGTTACATCTTCAGTCCTTTTTACAATTCTGAGGGCCAACAAAATGGCACAGTGGGTAAAAGCATTTGCCTTGCAAGCCTGATGGTCTGAGTTCAATTCCCAGATTTCAAGATGGAAGGAGAGACTCAACATGTGAAAACTGTCTTCTGACCTCCAAACCCAGAGTGTTACACACAAACACCTACAGTCAGCACTACACACACACACACACACACACACACACACACACACACACACACACCATCAATAAAAGTAAAAAATTGAAAAGAAAAAAAAGACAAAAAGAACACTTAGACCATGGTGAACATTCAGCAGACACTATGTGCAATTATCTATATTTAAGCTATGAATCCATTCGGCTCTTTTGCTTCTGCTCCACAGTCTTTCTATCTAAGCACACATCCCATCATTCATATTGACCCTCCAGAAAGCCAGCTTCCCTCCTGGACCTTAACTCCAGTAGTTTTTGCCTTCTTCCAATCCAGACTCACAGGAACAATTCCCTGACCTTGGCTGTTTTTGGACTGTTGTCTCTTTGAACACTGAAGAGACTGCATATAGACATAGGGTGGGACTAGTGTATAGAAAGCTTGGATGGACTTTTCCCTTAGCTTGAGATGACTGTGTGCACTTTTGGCACCACCCCAAACTGTCTGACCCATTCCCTGGAACATAAAGGCAGAGAAGGAACGGAAAGGGAGGGCTAGAGACAGAGCAGTTTGTCAGCTTATGACTACATAAGGAGAGGAAATGACAGTTGCAAGAAGTGAGGGAAAGTTTAGCTATGCAGACACCAGAGCAAAAGTCAGAAGGAAAGAACTAGATGTGATTGGTCTACACCTATAATCCCAGAACGTCAGGAAGAAGAGGCAGGAGGAGTCCCAGGAGTCCCCAGCCAGTCTGGACCACAGTATGAGACTTGGTTAAGAAGGAGAGACAGATGCTGCAAGTAGATGCCAATTGATTACCATCGATGATCTTCACGAAGGCCATCCTCTGATACCAGTGTGATCCTTGGAAGGTATGTACCCCTCCTGTAAAAGAGCGTAAGACAATAATAGCTCTAAGGGCAAAGCCTGGGCTCACCCCACCCACACCCCTTCAATCAAAGCACTTCTGCTTTTGATCTCCTCTATTTGGGCTCTATCTTCTAACTTCTTGTAAAAAAATTCCAATGCTAACCTACTGCCATTACACCCAGCAGGTAACTATGAATTTTGCTTTCAAAAAAACCTAGTTGCCACTGAGGTGTGGTGACTACTGTTAAATATTCTCCTCTATTTATCTTCATCTAATGCAGTTTAGTCTCTGAAGGTGTGTCCTTTCTCCTATTCAAAGCAAATGCTTCTGTTTGTATGTGACTTATCTTTTCCTACTTTCCTATGAATCCATATGCCATCCATTTTTTTCTCTTACTATGTGGCCGCATACTAAGTTTCTGTTTGAATCCTTTAGAGGGCCATTGGCAGGTTTTTCTGTTTCTTGTTTGTTTTGAGTTAGGGTCTCAACCATCTCAGATTGGCTTGAAACCCACTATGTAGCCATGGATGGCCTTGAACATCTGGCCCTCCTGTCTTCACCTCCTGAATACTAAGATTACAGGTGTGTGCCATCATGACTAAGTTTCAACACTGTGATTTTCACTGGTTGCAGTCTTGTGCTTGGTATACTTTTTCCCAAAATTTTTCTTAGTTTAGAAAAATTCCAAGCAAATATCCTTGCACATGTAAGAATAAGCATTCAATAGATTTTTTTTTTAAACGTAACACTTCTATGGATGCCTAGACATAGAATCAAGATATCAAACTTTTGTAGGATCATAAATCCCAGTGGATAACTCACTATTTACCAAGGGCCTAAAATAGTCATGAAATGTTTGTTCATCCATTCTACAAATATCTGCTGAACACATATCATGTCAAATGTTGTTGTGGGCACTTGAACTATATGAACAACTGAAAGATCCCTGCTCTATGTGATGTTTTTTCCCCTTTCTTCCTTTCTTCTTAATTCTATGCGAGACTGTAAGAGCTCATCTGTACTATCTGATGAAAGTACAGAGGGCATGAGACCACCAGCAACTGGAATTACAGATGGTTTTTAAATGACTATGTGAGCACTGGGAACTTAATGAAGGTCCTCTGCAAAAAACAGAAAGCATTCTTAATCACTGGACCATCTCTCCAATCCCTGGAGACAAGGTTTTACTATTTAGTGGTGCTGTTTTCAAACTCTTGCTCTTTCTGCCACACCCTCTTAAATGCTGGGGTTACAGAATGCAGGAACAGGCCTGGCTCCTGATCATTTTGTTCTTGAGGGTTTATTCTAGTGGGATGAAAGGAAGAAATATATAGTTAAAAAAAAAAAAACAGATGAGGGTTGGAAAGACGGCTCAGTGGTTAAGAGCACTGGCTGTTCTTCCAAAGGACCTGGATTCTATTCCGAGCACCCACATGGCAGCTCACAACCATCTGTAAATCCAGTTCCCGTGGATTCAATGCCTTTTTCACCCCTGCAGGCACCAGGAACACACAGACATACATGCATCCAAAACATTAACACACATAAAATAATGAAACAAGAAAACAGCTGAAAGGACATGGAATGGAGGGGGCATGTTACCATGCCCAAGGGGGAGTGGGAAGGAGGAGTCAGGAGCTCCTATGGGGAGCTAGAGAGAGGAATTTGGTTACATATGATCAAGATGCATTGTTTACATGTATACAATTGTCAAAGAATAAATAAAAGATACTCTACCAAAAAAAATGAAACAAGCCAGGCGGTGGTGATGGCACACACCTTTAATCCCAGCACTTGAGAGCTAGAAGCAGGTGAATCTCAGTGAGTTCAATGCCACCCTGGTCTACAAAGCAAGTTCCAGAACAGCCAGGACTGTTACACAGAGAAACCCTGTCTGGAGGGGAAAAAAAAGGAAAGAAAGAAAGGAAGAAAGGAAGAAAGGAAGAAAGAAAGAAAGACAGAAAGACAGAAAGACAGACAGACAGACAGAAAGAAAGAAAGAATGAAAGAAAGAAAGAAAGAGAACAAAAACAAAAGAAATAGCTGGAGAGATGTCTCAATGGTTAAGAGCAGGTACTACTGCTCCAGGAGACCTCAGTTCAATTCCCAGTATTCACACTGGGAGGCCTGTAACTCTAGTTCCAATAGCTCTGATGCCCTCTTCTGGCTTCTAAGGGTACCTACACTCATATGCACATAACCCCCCACACAGATTCTTATATATACACATAACTAAAAATAAAAATAAATATTTTTAAAAGAAGAGAAAATAGTAAGATAACTATATAGTATATCAGAAAATGCAGGAGATAGATAAAAATAGTGGGAGGAATATGAGCAAGACACATGATATTTTAAGATGAAAATGTCATAATAAAACCTATGATTTTAGCTGGGCGTTGGTAGTGCATGCCTTTAATCCCAGCACTCGGGAGGCAGAGGCAGGTGGATCTCTGTGAGTTCGAGACCAGCCTGGTCTACAAGAGCTAGTACCAGGACAGCCTCCAAAGCCACAGAGAAACCCTGTCTCGAAAAACCAAAAAAAAAAAAAAAAAAAAAAAAAACTATTATTTTGAGCCAGGCTGTGGTGGTGCATGACTTTAAGCCGATCACTCAAGAGGCAGAGGCAGGCAGATCTCTGTGAATTTGAGTCCAGCGTGTTCTAGGACAGCCAAGGCTACACAGAGAAACCCTGTCTCGAAAAGACAAAACAGAAAAAAAACATTAATTTTAAAACTAATTATAAAAATATTAAAGAGGAAAAATAGCCGATCCTGGTGTCACATATCTTTAATTCCAGTACTTGAGTAGTAGAGGGAGATGGATCTCTATGAGTTTGAGGCCAGCCTGGTCTGCATTGCAAGTCAGGCCAGCCTGGACTCTATAATGAGACCCTGTCTCAAAAAGAAAAACAATTCAAAAGGAAACAATAGATGCTGTTGACAACAAAATATAGAGTTGGGGAAAGGAGAAGGAGAGCAGTGGGAGGAGGAATTATAATTTTATTTTAATTCTTAGAAATAGTCCTGGGGTCTCACCAGACTTAGAGCACGGCTACATGTCCAACTTTAAAAGCTCTAAACACGGTGCTCACTGTAGGGCTTTTGGAGAAGGTGACAAGTAAGCAAAGATGACAAGAGAGGCAGAAGTCAAGGCATGGAGATACTGGGTGTGGAGGCAGTGTTCCGGACAGAATGGGCACCGAAGCCACTGCAGCACGAAAGCTAACGGAATAGAAGGTGAGAGGTGAGGACATGGAGATGCCAGGGATGAAGCCGGGAGGATTTTTATCAGTTGTTTGTTTCTGTGTAAGAGACTCATAAATTACTCCAAAACTTAGCTTCTGAAAACGAAAGCAGAACAACAGTATAGGACTGGGAGGAAGGATAACTCAAGAAGAGTGCTTGCCTTACAAAAAAAAAGGCCTGCCTATGGAGAAAAAACTAGGCATAGTAACACGGGCTTGGAATCCAAGCATTGGAAAGGGGGGTGGGGCAGAGACACGGTAGATTCCCTGGAGCTCACTGGCCAGTCAGCCTGGTATACACAGTGATCTTTAGGCAAAATGAGAGTCCCTAGCTCCAAAACCTGGGAGGCAGCTCCTGTATTAGTTTGCTTCTCTGTTGATGTAATAAACATCCTAACCAAAAGCAACTTGGGGACAAACAGGCTTTTTTCATCTTACAGTTTACAGTTTATCATGGACGAAAGGCAGGTCAGGGACTGAAGGCAGGAACCTGGATGCAGGAACTAAAGCAGAGACCATTAGAGGAATGTTGCTTGTTCAATATACTTTTTTGTACAACCCAGGTCCATCTGCCTAGGGTTGGGACCACCCACAGTGGGCTAGGCCCTCCCACATCATTAATAAAGAAAATACCACACAGACTTGCCTATATGTCAATATGACGGAGGCATTTTTCCAAGTGAGGTTCTTATCTTCCCAGATGACTCTAGCTTGTGTCAAATGAACAAAAATCTAATCACCACAGCTCTTGAGAAACAGCATCTGAAGTTGTCTGACCCACATACAAAAGAAAGGGGAAAAAAAAGAGCAGGGTGTTGGTGGAGCATGCCTTTAATCCCAGCCCTCGGGAGGAAGAGGCAGGCAGATCTCTGTGAGTTCAAGGCCAGCCTGGTCTACAAGAGTGAGTTCAAGGACAGCATCCAAAGCCACAGAGAAACCCTGTCTCGAAAAACAAAAAAAAAAAAAAAAAGAAAGAAAAAGAAAAAAGGAAGGAAGGAAGAAAAAAGAAAGAAAGAAAGGAAAGAAAGAGAGAATTCTAGCTTTGGTTCTCAATAAGTTGTACGGTTTTGTAAGTTGTACGGTTTTGTTTGGGGGATGTGTTAGTTTGAAAGTAACTGGCCCCCATAATCTCACAGGGAGTGGCACTAGTAGGAAGCATGACTTGGTTGGAGTGGGTGTAGCCTTGCTGGAGGAAGTGTGTCACTGTGAGGATGAGTTTTGAGGTTTCCTATGCTCAGAATGCTGCCCAGTGTCTAAGACCACTTCCTGTTGACTTCAAGGTGTAGGACTCACAGCTACTCCTCCAACACATCTGCATGCATGCTGCCATGTTCCTCGCCATGATGATAATGGAACTGTAAGTGAGCCCCCTCAACTAAATGGTTTCCTCAGAAGAGTTGCCATGGTCATGGTGTCCTTCCACAGCAATAGAATACCTACCTATGACAGGGGATTTTGCTTTCTTTTAGTGATTTACTTAAGACAGGGCCTCATGTATTCCAAGCTGGCTTTGAATTCACTAAGTTGCTGAGGATGACTTTGAACTTCTGATCTTCCTGCCAATGCCTCCCCAGTGCTGGAGTTACAGGCATAAAGCACCACATTAGGTTTATGTGGTGCGGGAGATCAGACTCAGAGCTTCATGTGTGCTGGGCAAGCACTCTACCAACTGAGCTACATGCCGGTCCTCAAGAGACTAGTTATCGGAGTCTTAGGCCTGAAATAGCCTCTTCCAAGTGTCTTACTCACGTGGTCAGCAAGGTGTGGCAGCTAGCTGGTCCTGGGGGAGGAAAGATGGAAAAGGGGTAGAACTCATTTTCTCCGCATTAGTTCTGATACTGGGCGGGGTCATCTGGTTTCCTGCCCTTCCTTCCTTCATTCTTTTTCTTTTCTTTTTCTCCCTTTTGGGTAGGGTTTGAGATATGTAGCCCAGGTTGGCTTCTTATGTAGCTACGTGTGATCTTGAAATCCTGGTCTTCCTGCCTCCGTCTCTACCTTCCAAGGACTAGACTACAAGCATGTGGCAATGGTCTTCTTTTCTTTCTTGAAGTAAGGTCTTACTATGTAGACTAGACTGGCTTTACATTCATAATCCTCCTGCCTTGGCCTCTAGAGTACTGGGATTAGTCATGAGCCATGGCAGCTAGCTTCACCTTCTGTTTGAGTACTCAAACATGCCCGGCTTACTCCACAACAAGCAATCCAAGGGAGCAAGGCAGAAACCACAGACCTTTTACAACCTCACCTTAAATGTCATAGGTCACCACTTCTGTATTCTATCAGTCACACAGGACAGCGCTAATTCTCTGCAGAAGAAACACATGCAAGCACATGACTAGTGGTGACTAGTCAGAGGTGAAGACTGTTGGACGCCATCTGGTAGCTGACACCATAACCTATCTTTTTTTTTTTTTCCAGACACGGTTTCTCTGTAGCTTTAGAGACTATCCTAGAACTCACTCTGTAGAACAGGCTGGCCTTGAGCTCACAGAGATCTGCCTGTCTCTGCCTCCAAAGTGCTGGGATCAAAGGTGGGTGCCACCACCACCCCGCTTGACACCATAACCTTTGGAAGTAGTCTTTTTTTTTTTTTTTGAGTGAAACAGAGAGCCAGTGAAGGCATCTGACAGGAAAACTGGTCTGTATTATGGTTTACATGTGGTAACTGGCTGCTATGGAAATGGAGTGGAGTGGGAACGGAGACCAATGAGGAGGCTACTGGGGGCCAGGAGAGGGATGGGCTTTGGGGGGGGGGTGCTGGTGAAGCTGATGAACACTTTTCGTACTCTGGCCATAATTTGAAGATAGCCATGGTAAGCTTTGCTGGTGGGCTGGATGTGAGATGAGAGAATCTAGAGATGTGTCCAGGTGTTGGGGACTGCAGCTGTGGGGAGAGGGCTTACCTAGTATGCACAAAGCCCTGACGTCACCAGCACAGAAACCGGGCAGGGTGGTGCACACCTATAATCCCAGCAACAGGGAGGTGGAGAAAGGATGATAAATTCAAGATTGGGCCTACAAGCCTGGTGACCAGAATTGGATTCATGGAAGCAATGGCAGAAGTAGATAACTGCAGAATTGTGCCCTCTAACCCCCATACATGTGCCTGTCACATGCCTATGGTGTGCACAGGCCTGAACTTACACAGATCTCTCTCTCTCTCTCTCTCTCTCTCTCTCTCTCTCTCTCTGTCTGTCTGCCTGTCTGTCTCTCTCTCTCTGGCCTTAATAATAAAAAAGGAAAAAAGTTCCAGCTATGTCATAAGTGTGGGATACACAAGACTCTGTCTTGAAAAATCCAAGGAGCTAGAGAGAGGGAGCTGTGGGTAAAGGGACCTTTAACCTGAGTTTGATCCCTAGAACCCAAATGGTGGGAGGAAAGTCAACTCTAGCAAGCTGTCCTCTGACCTCCACGCACATGACCTGGCATTGGCTCCCATGAATAAATTTAAAATTTGGAAAAGGTGACTTCAAGGGCTTTCCAAAAATGAGTTGGATAAAGATCTTCCCATAAACGAGCTTACACCAGAGGAGAAATGAGACATTTATACAAGTAGCTATATTGTGTGACACGACAAACTGCACTGTAACAAAGAAAAAAAAAACCATTAAGTTTAACGAGGAAGGTAGATGGAAGGTTCTAGAAATGGGCAGTGGTGATGGTTGTACAGTAACAGGAATGTACTGAATGACACTGAACTTGCTGTCAGATCTCACAGAAACCAGGGACCAGGCACACTCAGTCCCTGTGGCTCCTCCCAGCACTTCTCACACCACCTCCTACCCTAAACCTCTCCAGCCCAGGGGCTGGGCTTTGCTTCCCTTCCCCCAGCTATATAAAAAAAACGCCATTTTGGCCATGAGTACTCTTGGTCCTTGACTCTTCTCTTGATCCTCTTACCCCCCCTCTTCTCTTTGTCTTCTCTTCCCCTCTTGCTCCCCTCCCCCTCCATGGCCTAGTTCAGTCCTGACCCTCCCAGATGCCTCTGGCTGAACTCTGTCCTTCTCAAACACACCTTGGAGCATTCACGGCCTCATTTTCATTCACTTAGAATTGTTAAAACAAAATGGCTAAAATAGTAAATTTGTGTACATTTTACAATAAAAACATTGTTAGCTGGCTGGGGGTAGTTGCTCAAACTCATAATCTCAGCACTCAAGAGGTTGTAGCAGAGGATTGCCCTGAGTTTGAACCCAGCTTGGAACAAGTATCTAGACAAGGAAGGCTACCTAGCACAGATTCTATAAAACACTTTCAGTTCAAAGAATAAGAGAGAACAAAAAGTGAGAAAACAAAATCTTCAGGTAAGGGCATTAGAGAAGGCTCTACTTCTGTTCAACTAGTTTCAATAAGTGACAGGAAGACAGACAGGCAAACTGGCAAGAGCCAGGGCATGGTAAGAAGTTTTCTTAGAAGCCACTACACATTGTCCTAGAGGAGAGTGAACTCAAGGCTAAGGGGATTTACGATTATCCTGAAGTCAGAATGGAAGGATTTAACTCAGCTTCATACAAGCGAGACTGGGGGAAGTGGCGACAAGCCTAAGACCGGAGAAATCAGACTGGGTGATGGTCAGGCAAACCTGAGAGCAGAAAGATCAAGGGTTGAATAACACAAACCAGTACAATTGACATCAGCTTCTTTCAAAGGAGGTGATGGCAGACCAACTTACTGTAAGACAAAGGAGGTAGCTTGAGGTGAATTTTGTTAGTTTTGTGTTGAGACGGGGTCCCATGAATCTTAGGCTGTGCTCAAACTTGCTACTGAGGATGACCTTGAACTCCTGACCCTTCTCTTGATGAATTTGAGGGTGGCTTGGTAACACTCCCATCTAAAGAAAAAAAAAGGGGGGGAGGTTACTGATTTATATATTTAAGTGGGAGCTCTCTGAGAAATGAGACAGATATTTGCTTGGAGTTTTGTTTTGTTGGCAGTGATGAGATTTGAAACCCAGAGCTTGCACATGCTATAGACAAACGCTCCACCCATGCCTTACATTCCCAGTCTTTGTTTGTAATTCCCGTCACTGCAATCAGTCAGATGTAATTCTCAGGGCTGTAAAAGCACATCAGGGCCTAGGACACAGGTGGCTCAGTGGATAAAGGTATTGCCACCAAGCTTGAGGACCTGAATTCATCCCTGGAACCCACATGCTGGGAGAGAATGAGCTCCCCATGTTGTCCTCTGATCTCACACTGTAATTCAATGTAATAATTTAAAATAAAAAAGATTATTAGGAGAGATACTATGTTAGCAAAAGTTTAAGAACCAAAAATATTTGTCTTCTTTTCCAAGTTCCTTTTCATCAAGGGCAGCATTATATTTAACCAGGCAGGTGGTACTCATGATCTTCTTTGAAATGATATTCAGAATATATCTTATTACACTAGCCACTAAGAGCCCAAATTCCTCAAACCTAAATTCAGGTTTATCTGACAACCCTACAAGCATATTTGAATAATCTAGGGGCGGGATCATCATTTTGTGTACAAAGACTTTCTGTGTTTCTTTTCCATTTTCGTCCCATTATTTCTTTTATTTCTCTTTCTCTTTCACAAATCAAACATCTCTCACTCTTTTGTCTCTCTTCTCCTTTTCATCTTGCTCAATTTGGAGACGACCGACTCTCATCTCGGTTCTCTTTTTATTAGGTAGGTGATACTGGGATAATTAACTTCTCTGGGTCTCAGTTTCCCCGGACAGAGCGTTTCATTAGGGGTGTCCTGCCTTTCAGGGTTCTCTACATAACAAAGGGTATGTTATACACCTAGTGGAGTCCCTGATAGCCACTAATAATCCAGTATGTCCTGACTCTTTCTCCCTCGGTTTTTAATCCTCTTACCTGAATTCCCCTACTCCTCACCCTAAAATCCAGATAAAGGCCATGGGAAGAAAAAAAAAAAAGTCCTGGATACTAAAAGAGGAAACGCTGGGGTCGGGGGCGGGGACTGCGAGGTGACCTGTGCGCATGTGCAACCGCTGGGTCAGGCTCTGGCTTGGCGCTGGGGAGGGGGTTCGGGCTGCATAAGGAGGGGGACTGGGGATTTTCT